ACTCTCTATGTCGCTCTTGAACAGGGCATAAACCCCTTCTCCCCGTAGACTCCTCCACCCAGTCCTCCGCCGGGAACAATATAGTAGTATATTTTTATTCCCGTGGATTAAGTCCTCCGCTAGCCAGGCCACGTAAAATGCACTTCCAAGTACTCCGTGTCCTCCGCAAGATGGTCTAGCCAAGTGCGACGAAACTTTAATCCTGGTGATGTAATACCCTGTAATAGTATGCTATATTAATATATATATATATAGATACATAACCATCTGTGTATATGAAGAAAAAGAAATATAAGATAATATAACTTTTAACATTATACTCGCACTATGCTATACTATACTATACTATAACATATTATAGTATAATAAAATGTGATTTGATGAAATTTTACATTGTAGGGCTCGAAGTCCGTCGGTATGGCTAGGTTGCTACAGTAAAAGCCGAGGCAACACTACAATTATCAGACTTGCCTTAGACTTTAAACCTGAACCGCCAACTGTAGGTAAGGATGCAACGCGGCGATTCTAGAAAATGTGCTTAATTACGCATTCAGAGACAGACGAAGATAAGGTACCCAAATGCTTAATTTCAAAAAATCGCAAGCAAATCCAATCCGGCCATGACTTTGAATCCTACCTCCGTGTGTTGTAAGTCCTTTGCCCTAAACCCTAAACCCGTAATTCCGGCTTCAGGCTTTGGGGCGGTGTCGAGTGTGGCTTTAGCGGCAAGCGGCAGCGGTCGCCAGAGAACGGGCGCGGCAACGACAGCGCAGAGTTGGCTTACCTGCCCCAGTAGTTCTTCAAAACTCTAACTCTTCGGAACAACGAGGAAACATCTTACCCTAACTCCCCAGGTACCTACTATACAGGGTACTAGAGCCCCTAGGGCCCTACATAGTGGGTACCTGGGGGGTTCGGGTTAGCTCGAGGTTCAAGGTTTGGGGTTCATTAACGGCTAAGGATGTCGGCTTGCTGTCCCTTTTTGCAGGACCTGGAGGACATGTATAAAGCTGGGATCCTGTTCAACTTCCGACGTTAGGACAGGGGGTATTCTATTTCTATTTATTCAACCCCCTACATTACCCCTCAAGCGAATGTAGTCAGGAGATGTAATAGTGCCGTTGTGCAGCAAGAGTCTAGGGGTTCGGTTTTAGGGTGTTCGGAATAAGACTTGAGAAATGCTGAATAACGGCCAAATGTGCAGTATAGGGCTCAACGACGACAATGTCGACGACTAGCGGTCCTCCCAAAGCTATACAACACTACTTAACAGGATCATGAGCCTTCGTAACCATAGGGTCAAAGGGTTATAAACAAGATACTTACAGTTACTCAGAACACCGAACTGCGGTTCTTCTGACCTTGCTGACCAAGTCGCATGGACATGATCCTCCCACTATGCACACAGGAAAGCCGTTCACGTGCCTGAATCGCTAACGTGGAAACCTAGGTCAAGCATCTGTCAAAGAATGGAACTTTGAATCAGACTTAAGCCCTAAATCGACGTCGAAAAAAACACGATGCTGCCTACACCCCCCCCCAAAAAAAATGGTAAAGCAATCGTCCAACACCAAAAAAGGGTATTATGCCATATACTTTCGGGGTCAGGTAATCTTGCATCATCTATGCTTTGCTGCTTTGCGAACAGCTCAAGATCCTGGTGTCGGACAACACTCGCGGCAACGCTGCACGGGAACCGCAGAAGTACAGGGGCCGTTCTGCTTAGACTTAGGTATATATAATGAATCTTGCGATTTCAGTATAAGAATTGTAGTGAGATAGTGGGTTTAAAGCAAGGAGCCAATCTCAACTGCAACTATCCATCTAGGCTTCTCTGTCAGTCCCCGTCCATGTTCCCAAACAGTAGAGACTTTGGCCTCAAAGTACCCAAATAGGGACCACTCTAAGGCCAAAGTATATACTATTTAGCTACATGGACCCTTAAACCCTAAACCCTTGTAGAACCCTTAAAGGAACCCTTCAAGGAACCTTAAAGGAGACCGTTAGGGTACAGGAACCCTTCGTTCTTCTTTACCGATGTATCAGGGTTTAGCGGCTGGGATGCTCGGAAGGGTTCCGGGTCGATGGGTCGGGTCGTGGTTCCTTTCAGTGTTCCCGAAAGAGCACCGTAAGCGTTGCTCTAAGGGTTCTACCAGGGGATGCAAGCGGTTTCGGGCTTTACGCTTCAGGCTTTTAGGGGTTTCCGGTTTCCGGCTGGGGTTGCAATTTGAGACGGGGGGGGGGGGGGGGNNCGGGGGGGGGGTTCGGGTTTGGGTGGGGAGCTGAACTCTGTCCGAAGGATGCAGCCTCCACAATGGCGACGAAGTTACGTGCTTTCCGCCTCAATCCGGCAGCATGGGTTTGCGGAGCAAGTGGCAGGAGTCTTCTTCGGTATAGAGGTAGCGCTGGGGCACCAACGTGGGTTTTCGAAACTCCGCAAAGGCTAAGGCAGTCATACTGTCTAGTACGTCTTCGTCGAATCGAACCTTACAGGCAAGGTTGAACTACAGAGACCAAGTCTCGGATGTTTATGGCTCATGTGCTCAGAACTTGTTGCTAATGTCTTCGTGATCCCATTAGGAGGCCGAAACTTCAAGACAAACACCCAAACACTAAAGCCTAAACCTATCAACCCTTTCTCGAAGTTCAAGCTTTCTAGACCCTCAGTTGCATGTCATGTTTCACCGATTGAACTGATGTGTACATATGCAAATACGTGTGTATACATACATANNATATATATATATATATTTGTATTTATTTATTTATTCATTTGACATACATGTCACACAAGTCTACGTGCATGCACCGGTACATGAAACAAATACCTGGGTGAGTGCACACTGCGTGAGCCATAAACCGATCACTCGACCTGCCAAAATGGAAGACTGAATGATTACCAATACTGTTCGGTAGGGTTGCGACATAGTATATCGTCGTGCGAGACATCTCCCAACGCTACTGAACTTACTAACGCCCCAGGCCCTAAACCCAGAACCCTAAAGTCCTTGTCTTCCGGAAGCTTTCTTAAGCCTCTGACCTGCATTCATAGACGGCTAATTCGTCGATGCTGGCCGCAAGCTCCAATGCACCTGCGATGTCCAGGGTTTAGGGTTTGGGGTTTAGGGTTTCGGGGTTTAGTGTTTAGGGGTTTAGGGGTTTAGGGGTTTAGGGTTCAGGGTGTCGGGGTTAGGGTTTAGAAGTTAGGGTTTAGGGCTTAGGGTTTCCGGATCAGGATTTAGGGATGTAAGGCCATAAGCCTGAGTGTCTGCAGTACACTCCTGCTTCAATCCGACCACTGTAGACCCCAACTGCGCTTGAATCCTGCAAACGAAGCTCAAGACTGACCATCTAACTCCAGACACCAAAACTATATCTATATATATATATATACACATACTTGTAAGACAAAAGCCACAAACCCCAAAATCTCTGGTCTTCGACACGCTATGCGAGATTCTCCCTTTCTGGCTTTGCCGTTAAACCACAAGAGCAACACTTCCTAAATCAGACACACCCAATGCGATAACACCATAATATGGGTAGTTCTGTAAATTAGGGTCCATTTTTAGGTCCCCAATAAAGCACGGCACCCTCAAAGGGACCCTGATTGAGGGAATTACGCAAAAACCGTTACACAACGGCTTGGAGGCTCTGCCCGCGGTAGTGCCTCTACCAACAACCAAAGCTTCGCTCAAACCCCCAACCTCCCACCCGGCTCCGACTACTAGGGGCCTTAAGAATTAGAATAGGGTTTTGGGGGGCTCCTTATTATAATTATAGTATAATATAACCCCAAACCCTATTCTAATTATTAAGGCCCCTAGATTAGCCTCCCCCTTCCCCTTTCAGGGTGGGCCTGCTTTGACGCCACTGCCTCAGTCTGAAAACGAAAGGGTTGGCTCATGAGCAGTGTCACGGTTTTGGGTTTAGGGTTTAGGGTTTAGGGTTTAGGGTTTAGGGTTTAGGGTTTCGGTGCGCCCTTCCATAGCTATCAGGAAGGGCCTCGTAAGCCTCAAACATGATCTCGATGATCAAGTGAAAACAAGTCTCATAGCAAAACTCTGCCGGGAACATAGCTGTAAACCTACACCCGAAAAATGCGATGCTGATTTGGGGCTCTGATTAGAAAGCGACTGTCTACAGCTTTGGGTTTCTTTCAAGAAGGGACCTCCTACATTTAGTAACCTCTACACCTGACACCTGGATCCCACCGTCCGGGGCATACATAGATTGATTGGGAAGCCTGCACCCTAAGGTCCTTTGCTTGCTGAAGCTCCCAAGATGTGATGGCTTTAGGAAATAAGCATGTTGCAGGAGGCATACCAAGTGCCAGTGCAAACGAAGTGCCAATGAACCATGTCATCTCAAACTCAGTAGTTACCCTGCCTTTAGAGAGAGCACCGCAACATAGGTCAGTTCATATGCACTGCAGGTTAGCTCGCTGTATTACTGCAATCCATTTACACAACAATATTTGACGGGTCAGGCCGGTCAGGCCGTGAGGGAGGTTACCAGGCATGCTCCACACCAGCTACGGCTCAATGACGAAGCAGGAAATTTGCCCCATACTCTTTACGACGACACGACTGCGGCATGTGAGCTTCAACACGATACGTAAGGCGAGGAATATATCCCGGGACTGAGGGAGCTTCAGAGAAGGAAAGCTTGCGATGTTTGCGGTAATTCATGCCACGAAAGCATGTGCCAGCATGTTATGTCGACCCCCAACCCCTACGTTCAAAGATTTCAGAGTCCTAACGGCTATAGAGCTTTTCACCTAAAGGATGCAAACCCTCTAGCCGTCTCTCTGAACCCTAAACCCTAAACCCAAAACCCAAAAGCCAAAAGCCTAAACCCTAAACCCTAGACCAGCCGTCTCTCTGATGTCGGGCGCGCCTCCTTGAAAGGCCTTGTCTCTGTAGAAGACGCCCGACAGCAGCAGAGAGAAGGCAATGATGAAGGGCCAGGGCTCTTCGCCATCTTCCAAGCAAGGGACCCTAAACCCTAAACCCTAAACCCCAAAACTCCAAAACCCTGAACCCTGAACCCTAAACCCTAAACCCTAAACCCTAAACCCTAAACCCTAAACCCTAAACCCCAAAACCCCAAAACTCCAAAACCCTGAACCCTGAACCCTAAACCCTGAACCCTAAACCCTAAACCTTGAACCGTCCCCGAACCACAACACCAGCAGTCGTTTCAAAAGAAGAGTCGGAGAGGAGGGATGAGCTTTGATGCCTTAGGCTCAGACACAAAGTTCTAACCCTAAACCCTAAACCCTAAACCCTAAAAACTTGGGCACGCTAAGCTTCAAGATGGTACTCCTGGAACCTTGAACCCTTCTGATAGCTTTACTGGGAAACTCAGAGCCAGTAGATAATTGTTGCTCCTTTGTTCTGTCGCGGCGTGGCGTGGCCTGTGTTTGCAGTAGCTTCGGATGTGTTGCTTGTGGCTGTGGTGGATGAGGGCGTGTCTTTGCTGGGAGTCGTGGATCGGCTACAGTACAGTTGTTTGTGCTATCGCAGCTGGAGCAGCTTCTCGTGGTCGGCGGTGCGTTCTTTTTGCAGGGTTCCGTTGCAGCTATCGGAATTTCGATGTGGTGAATGCTGTTGGCCGTCTGCAGAAAAAATCCAAGGCAGGTCGGGCGAAGAGTTCGCTGACAAAACATCCGGTTCAAAACAGTAGAGCGTAACTGTCATCCGGAATACCATGGTGCTGGGTTGACGATCTGTTGCCGCATCCTTCAGTTACGTATTTTGCACTAGCCTGTGTGCATGCCTCCAATGTTGAGATGCATATTGCCCATTCCAACCTCAGACACTCCCATTTCACTTGCTATGCGCATCATTGCGGTTTAACACCAGGTCTGACAACACAAAATCACACCACAAACGCAACAACACACGTCTCTCCCGAGGCTTGCCGCTGCCTGCCTTCAGGAAGCACGTTGAAGCGGAAGAGCCCGCATGGATCCTCGACGGATAACACCCGACACCCAGACGCTATGAACAATGCTTTAACATGCCCTAACCCCCCAAGTACCTACTATATAGGGTACTATAGAGCCCTAAACCCTAAACCCTAAACCCCTAAACCCCTAAACCCTAAACCCTAAAGCCTAAACCCCTAAACCCTAAACCCTAAACCCTAAACCTTTACGGCCCTATATAGCAGGTACCTGGGGCGGTTACGAATGATTCGCGCTCTCTCTGTCGGATTTACGGCCTCGGCCCTGAACCCTAAACGCTACAAGCTACTGTAGGGGTCTTAATAATTAGAATAGGGCTTTGGGGTATACTATACCAATAAATAATAATAACAATAAATAATAATAATAATAAGCCCCCCCAAAACCCTATTCTAACTATTAAGGCCCCTGCATTAGAGGTTTCGAGTTGGGTTTGGAATTTGGGCGGTCCGAGGCAGAAGCGGCGACCTCAAGCACAACACGACATCGGTGCGTACATGCCAAGAACACCCTCTCAGCTCCGTGTAGCAAGCCCGAAGCCCTATACATATATATATATATATATACGCACATAATACATACATACATACATACATACATACATACATACATACATACATACATACATACATACATACATATATATATATATATATATGCACAGTACAGAGAGACCTTAATAATGAGATCAGCGCTTTGGGGTACCCTGTGCTGTAATTTACTGTCGTTGCAACAACTCTTAGCATCAAAGCCGCCCAAAGGCCTTTTATAGGAGTCTCTTTGGGCCCCAAATTCCCAACAGCCTTAAACTATGAGGGTTTAGGGTTTAGGGTTTAGGGTGAGTCCTTTGAGGGTAAGGGTAACAAGGAAAGCCCAGATATGATCTCCGTATTTATTCAGGCCCCTACGTTTCAGGAGCGAAACAATGGAGTCGGAAGCCTAAACCCTAAACCAACCGTCAACCCTAATCCCGAAGCCACGGAACCTGGCTGAAGTTTAGGGTTTAGGGTTTAGGATTTAGGGTTTAGGGTTTAGGGTCTAGGATTTAGGGTTTAGGGTTTACGGTTTAGGGTTTAGGAAGACAGATGCACGACCTGAAGCCCTGCATCAACCCCTGCCCTGAGTAAACCTCGCCCGAATTGACATCCTTGCTTCGTAAGTCTCTGTGTCTCTGTGGGCAAGGCACCTTTGCATGAACGCCTTTACAAAATCCCCAACAGAGCCTACCATGATCCTACGAGCGCCTTACATTGTCTCACTAAACATATTATTGGTGAAAAAATATGTTTCCCCCTATAAAATGGTTAACCCTACATTGCCTGAGGATGCCCATGCTCTAGAGACCCTCCGAATCCTCTCAGGGACAACTCGCACAGTCCTCGTCCAAAGGTGCACAGTTGTCCTCTGTGATCTTCTTCTTGAAGTTGTTATCACCTTGCTGAAGAGTAGCATTGCCGCAGTAAGAGTGGCGAGAGCAATCATGCTCACAGTAGAAAGGCTATAGAGCAGTCATGTTGAAACTCACGATAGTTCAAAGTGCCTACACAAATGCATCTTGCATCAAATCTTTAAACCCTGAACTCGGAACGGTCCATAGATCCCGACAACACAGAATCTCGAAACACCCCTGTGCACAAAGCCTCCTTACCTATTCCCAAACCCTTTGACCCACATAGCAGGGTTTTCTCAATCCCACCACTGACTGTGCTCCAAAAGGTTGGGGCACCCAAAGCTCTAATAGTGGAGTACTTGCGCCCTAAACCCAAAGCCCTGTGAACCCATGCTGATTGCATGCCGGCAGCCCAAGGCCAAACGTGTAAGATGCGGCAGATTTCCTTATGTCCGGAAACGCCGGGGGAAGTGCTAAAGGGGTTCTACAAGGGCTTTAATGCAGATAATCTTCCGGGACCTTGTAGGGTTTTGGGGTATGAGGGTCCTTCCACACATAACATCGCATTATCTATGTCTTTGTGTATGTTTGTCTACACATATATACATATGTTGATAACTCATATTTATACCAATATGTGATAACATTTATGTTGGTGTATATTATACATATTATGCTAGCTACCTGCCTGCCTGCCTGCCTGCCTGCCTGCCTGCCTGCCTGCCTGCCTGCCTGCATACCTACCTACCTACATACCTACCTACCTACCTACCTACCTACCTATCTACCTACCTACCTACCTACCTACCTACCTTCCTACCTACCTCCGCATCTACCTACCGGTCACCTACCTACCAACCTGCCTACCTACCTACCTACCTACCTACCTACCTACCTACCTACCTACCTACCTACCTACCTACGTACCCATCTACCTACCTGCCTACCTACCTACCTACCTACCTACCTTCCTTCCTTCCTTCCTTCCTTCCTTCCTTCCTTCCTCCGTTCCGACTTCCTTCCCACGGAAACCTTGGGCTGCGAATCGAGAACGCTGTCCCACGACCCCCGACTACTCTCTACTGCACGGTTTAGGGTTTAGGATTACCACGGTTTGGAGCTTAATTAATTGGGATTTAGGACTGCTGCTGTAAGCGTCCATGTCCCAATGTTTACACGTAGGGCCCCGCGGAAAGCCCACGTAAGTGCATAAAACAAAGGTACGTGGACGCTATGCACCCTATAGCAATCCCGAAACCCTGTGTAGAACAAACTGTTCAAACCCTAAACAACCCGTAGAAGAGCCAAAATGCTGTCGACAGATCTTAGCCCTAAGGGTCCATGTACCCAAATAGTAGAACATTGGCCGTAATGTAGTCCCTATATGGGTACTTTAGGGCCAATGTTCTACTATTTGGGTACATGGACTGTTAGGGTAGATGACCCTTTGGTGACCCGTTGGTGCGGAGGACTACGGACCTCATGGCCCTAGCTACACCAAACGTATCCGAACAAAACACGGGTTTAGGGTTTAGGGTTTAGGGTTTATGGCTTAACATGTTTTTCCCTAAGTCCTAAACTCCTAAACCCTCAATTAATTTCCCCTAACCCTCCAGGTACCTACTATATAGGGTACTAGAGCCCCTAAGGCGCTATATAGTAGGTACCTGGAGGGTTAGGGTTCCACAACCCCAGCCCCCATACACTAAACCCAAGACCTCAAGACCCAAGCCCAAAAGAGACTGATACGCTGACCCGAAGACCCTAAAACCTCCCGAACCCCGAAGCCCACACGTGAACCCGAAGCTTTAGATCGGTTTTAGAGTTTAGGGTTCAGGGTTTAGGGATCTACAGCCCTAAGCCTCTAACCCTCAGTATAAACCCTTCAGACCTCTAACCTTCTTCTGAAAACACCCTAAACCCTAAACCCTAAACCCTAAACCCTTACTCTACACCCTCAAAGCCTTGATCTAAAACCCCAAACTCTGTATCTCAATCCCCAAGCCCCTAAACCTTAATCCAAAACCCTAAACCAGCAAAACCGAAACCCCTAAACCCTACATAAACCTAAGTACTTCCCCAAACCCTGAACTAAAAACCCAACTGCGGAAGCAGGCAGACCGGGCTGCGAAGATCTGTGGGGATCGTTCCCTCGAAGCTATTATTTCGAAGATCCAGCCTGTGGGGTTTAGGGTTTAGGGTTTAGGGTTTAGGGGTTTAGGGTTTAGGGTTTAGGGTTTAGTATAGGGTTTAGGGTTTCAGGTTTAAGGTTTATAGGGGCAGGGATTGAAGTTTCGGGTTTAGGGTTGACTGGGTCTCTCTACTCGCCCTCTTGCTTGTATTGGGATTAAGTCTAGGGTGAAGGGATTTTGAATCTGGAACACGGGATGCTATTTCGATGTAGACATTCATTGCAGGTTTAATAAGTTTAAGGGCTTTTAGAAATTTGCGACTCTGATTTGCATTATCCCATTCTGCGAAGGGCCTTAATGGGTCTATGCCATGGCGACTTGTAGCACTCGCACGCATGCTTGATCTGCATAGCGCTTGCATACAGGGCCCAACGACAGCAACCCACTGATATAAGGGCCTTAACAATTAGAATAGGCTTTGGGGCCTTTATACCACATCGATAATAAGGAATCCCCCCAAACCCTGTTCTAATCACTTAGGCCCCCGTATTATATGTGTCACCGCGTCCGCGTGTGGCTTGTAGTGTAAGGAATGAAGGATTGCAAGTTTCGGGCGTTGGTAATGTAGTGGCCTTAATAATTAGAATAGGGTTTTGGCGTATATTATATACTGTAGTTATACTAAGGAACCCCGCAAATAGTATAGGTATTCGGGGTTTCGGGGAAAGCAGTTAGAAGTCTTCTTTCTATGTACACACGAGGTTGCTACCAAGCATTTGGGCTGAAAGCTGGAGCTGGTGCTGGTGACGGCGGTAGTGGTGACGGTGCTGGTGCTGGTGCTGGTGCTGATGCTGATGCTGGTGCTGGTGCTGGTG